TTCGCCCACCAGTCCCCGTCCTTTCAGCAGCAGCGGGGGAGGGAAAGGGGCACAAAGAGCAGCCCTCCCCCCCCCCACCAGGAGTGGGTGCCACCTTGGTGGGGTTGAGAATGTGACATTTTGGGTCCGTGTAAGTTGGCGCGTCTCGGTTCCCTTTTCGTTGCCGTTCTTGTCGCCCCGGTATTTGCATAGCACAATGCCAAAATGCCTCAGAGCTGGAGGAAAGTGGAGGCTGCTGCTTCTCCTTTTAAAGAACAAGCAGTTATCCATGCAACCCCAGCACTGCCGGGGTTGTGTGCTCAGGGTGGAGGAGCAGGCATGTCACTGGAGGGCTACGGCCTTTGGAAAAGTTTTGCAGACTTGAATTTAATTGAGACTGATGATCTTTAAGCCAAGCTATAAAATCTGGTGGAGAGTCGTATCCCAGTAATAGACTCTATTAGAGGGTCCAGTGCAGTCTTTAGAAAGGATCTCTATTAAATTCTCTAGGGCTTGAGTTCTCACACAAAGGGCTCTTTTAGCTGTGTAAAATGGCCATAAAGTAAGTGTAAAAATGATTGATGCCATCTTTGCAACCCCTTTTCACTGGGAAAACAATGTAAAGTGGCTAGGGTGCAAATGAGAATCACACCTGGGTTTGTGAGAGTAAATCACATCGAGCCCTTTGCAAATTCTGTGTGTCCATAGCAGTTTAATCCTACCCTTTTCTGCAGAATTCACCCAGAAAATAAATTTTCAGGATTTAAAGAAAAAATAAAAATGTTCTTTTCTTCAACACCTCTGTTCTTTCTTTCAGTCCTAGTCTTTCTCCTGGTAGAGTCCATGTGGGCTCTGACACCAAGAAGCTTAGTATGCTGTAGTAGGTGAAAATCCTTTAGTTAGGACTTTCCAAAATTCTTGAGCCGAGCAAAATACATGTACATCTTACCCAGGGGAAAAACAGTTCCAAAACACTACTGTGTACATTTTCTCATCTCTCCTGTTCTATGCTTTGAGATATATGAAGAGGAAATACAGAAGTTAGTCTTTGGTAGATCAAAACGTCCCATCTTTATTCATGAAGCATTAAAACACCAACAGAATATATGATGACTATTGCTTTTGTCCAGAGCAAAGGGTTAAAGCCACAAGGTGTTGATTAGGTAACCAAACTTGGGGGCAGTGGGTCGAAGCAGAGGGTGGGCTGTTACAGAGGTGCACAGCTTGCTGAGCAGAGCAGGGTGTCATCTCCTCATCTCCCTTCTCTTTCCTGCCACCCCACTGAAGGCATTTGCAGTGACTCTGTGATCACCACCACCATGTCTTTCGTGCTCTACAGGAGTCCCAGCAAATTTAAGCCAGGGGTGAGTAGGCAGAGGTCAGGAAACTGTGAGGCAAGCCTCACCTATCAGGGCCTGGCCTCCAGGAGCCTCACACCTGGGAGGTGATGGGAAATAGGGAGTGAAAACATGTTGGTGACACTGAAGTCAAAGGATTAAGGCGCTGGTGGAAATGCTGCTTGGCCAGGGCCAGCCAGCCATGTCCCACAGCAGCTCCCTGCCGCCAGCCTGAGCTATCTTATCTGCTGAACAACAGTGACATTTGGCAAAGGGCAAGGTGGGAAGCATGCCCCCCTCTGCCAGCAGAGCCTTCCTCTTCTTCTTTTGGCCAGGTGACAAGATGGGGAGGAAGCCCCAAAGCTCAGCTGTCATTCAGCATCCCCTCCATCTCTTTCCTGCTCCTTGTTATCTTCTTTGTGGAGAGGACAGCCCACATTTTTGGCCTAGGGGAGGAGTGGGTGCAGCAAGGGTCGTGTATGAGAGAGAAAGGTATGTCCTTTGACCTGTCTTGGCTTCCACAGAGAGCAGAGGTGGAACTGTGTGAGGGCTGGAGGTGAAACCTGGGTACAAGCAGCAGGTGAGAGGCACTGCTATGTCTCTGTGCCACACAGGAGGCTGCCCGGGCACGGGGCCACCGGCGCTGCTCGCTGCCTGCTGCGCTGGAGCTGGGTGAGGTGGGGTGGTTCCTGGGTGGCACTGCTGATGCCGACAGCTGGGCCTTACACAGCCAGCCTGCCTGCACACCCCACGGCTCCTTCAGCTTGCTCCAGACATGCCTGGGAGCCAGGCTTAGGCCCTGCATGGCTGGCAGCACGTAGGCAAGAGAAAGGGCCCCCCAGCAAACGTGCCCCACAGCCACGCTTACTAGTGACTGTTCTTTTCAGGTGCATAAAAAAGGCCATTTGGAAGCTGGTCTCAAAAACCTTCGTTTTCTGAAGCTCCTTACATTGCAGCTTGGCAGAGAGCAGCTTGGTGATGCTACGTCTACTCTAGAAGCACTTTCCATGACAAGAACTCAAGCACGTACACCGAGCCATGCTCTAGATGGGCCATAGGAGACTTGGCTGTGATCTTCTCACCCTGGAGGTACGCTGGTCTAGCCCTGGCATGATGTGTCATCACCAGATAGAAGGCATTTTTTGGGTGGTATTTGAGCTACTTAGAAAACTAGCTTTTTTGACAGACTGGGTTTTTCACTTCTTGGTGGCTATTTTTGCTGCAGAAAGTTTTTTGCTTCTCCGAAGCCTTATGGAAATATTATTTGCTTCCTCCTTCCTAGTGATTATGGTACCGTTTTTCTGGTATGTGATTGCTCCACCCCACCTCAGAGACACCCTTGCTCTGGCCAGGATAGGGAAATCCCTAGTCATAGCAGGGCGTGAGCACCAGCTGCCCTGCCCTTGCACAGATAGTTTTGCAGGCAGTGCAAAACACTGCCAATTCAGAATTGCTCCTACATTTAGAAATCCATGCTGTGCGAGTGGAAATGACAGTTGGAGGGACAAACTTGTCCCAGCATAAGGACAGTAAGACCTAAAGTACTACTAGAGACAAACTTTCAGGGTGAAAAAGCACTATTTGAATGTGGTTTGTTATTCTGTGCTGCTTATTAAGAAATAGTTATTCTTTTGCCCTCATCAGGATAAACGATGTCTTTGCGAGACTGGCAGTCTGTTCTAGCTTTCCTCCCTCCACCCCATTTTAAAAACATTCATTGTTGCAGAGATGTGTCTTTCAGGGCTGTTGGCCCAACTCCACTGCTGGTGTGTAAGGCTGATTGTCTTCAGAAGAGTTACACCAAAAAATGCATTTGGCCTTTTGTGCTTGGAGTATAATTGGTGGAACTGGCCAGATGCCGGGTTTGAGAGCCTGCAATTACAGTAATGTCAACATGATTTTTAATGGGACTGGTGATTTAGGGTCCTCCACAACTCACAGTTTCTTAAATTGATCTTTTCTCACAAAGTGCCGAGCACTCATACTTCAGAAATGTGTCTAGGGTCTCAAGCACGGCCCATCAAATCACCAGTAGTCAACCCACTCATATTGTTGTGTATTAGTAATTGGATTAGGTAGCCTATATATATAATTAGTCACTCTGAAAATTCTTACATACATTTTATATGGCAGTCATCAGTATGCTCACTTTGCTGTTGGTCTCAACCTGCATTTGAAGAGGTTCTAACCTCCCTTATTACCTTTCCATATGGTAAATCCCCATCAGGTTAGCATGGAGTATACCCAGAGCTTCTGAGAGACAATATATTCACTAAGCATGATCAGCATAATTATAATCAAGCAGTTTGGACCAGATCCTTACCTGGTAGAAATCGGTACAGCTTCTCTAAAGGCAAGCACAGATATCTACCAGTGAGGAAAAGGGACCCTATTTCTTAATGTCTGTACCCCTGCAGATGTTTTCCCAATGATTTGTTAAGCTCTCATTTTGTTTATGGCTATTAAAGATCCTCTTTGAGGAGTATTTGTACGGCTGCATCTTTAGGACTTTGTGATGGCTACATCATCTCACAAGAGTCCTTTTGCAAGGGCAGCCATATGAAATGCTCTTAAAATGATTGAAAAACATGTTCATGAAAACTGTGTGAATGGTTTTCCTTGTCAAAAACCTCATCCTTGCTGTCTATGGTGGCAGTCTGCTGACATGTTCCATTCCCTGCCTATGACCCATCACCAGCCCAGCCCCTAGACCTTCTGTTGCTGGCACTCAGTAGGTGTTAAGGGGTAGAACCGAACGCCCACGTAGAAGACCTGGTATCTGTGTTTCCACATCACAAAACAGGCTGCTAGGCACACCAGGGCTGTGATCAGGTTGAGACCCATCTGCAGCAGCAGGTACAGGTTGAGCATGCTGGTGAGGCTGCCGCAGTCAGCTGCGTCCTGGTAGATGAAGGTCCTGCCGAGGGGGTCTGCAGTGTCCAGTTTGCACTGGCAGGAATCAAGGATGGTATCACAGGTAAATCGTGTCATCTGCAAATAATGGTGTGCAGCAAAAGCCACTGCCAAAACACAGGCAACCAGACCCAGGGCACTCAGGAGAAAATACATCAGCTGAAAGAAAGCAAAAACAGAAAGAAAAAAAACCCCACTCTTTTTCCAGCTACTCAGAGAATGAGGAACACAGAAGGAATGCATGCACATACACTGCACAGGGAATGCATGCATTCAGTGTACTATCTGGACACCGTGTGCTTGAAAAATTGCTAGACAGCTATAGCTCCCTGGTGGTGCCAAGTTCAGTAGGTCATCTCAAGAACTAGTAATT